TGGGTGATCTCTTCAGGTGGGAAAGTTGCTTTAGCAAGCTCAACATATTCGATCGGGGAGTGGTAATGCTCCATCGCCATCATAGTCTCTCCATTTTGGTCACGAATAATAGTCTCAATATCCACCTCGTCCTTAAGCACATTACAGCGAGGTTCATCTTTCGATGATAAAAATGGAACTATTGGGACTATCTTAGTAGCAATCGTAGGTGCCTCACTAATTGATCTAATTGATCTATATTCTTATTAACATAAAATAAAATAAAACCGTGTTCAAAATTTTTGGGTAAATAGATGTATTTTTATTGTTTTTTCTTGAAATTGAAGGAAAAAATTATTCTAAAAATCAGGGCGTTGGAAATGAAAAATCATGGAGTTGTGGACAAGGAGAGAGGAGAAAAAAGTTTCCGTAAGAATACAGGAAGATTTTTGCCTCTTCCGTCCACTTAACGGATTTTGAAAACATGTTTTATATTTGGTGGGGGTTAAGATAGTGAATCAGTGATCGTATTCGTATTCTTCTTCTTCTTCTTCTTTCACGAATGCTCCGAAAAATTGCTCGTGTTTGCGATCGTTTTCCTCTCTGAGCTGAGAAAGTTATTTCATCGAAAAACTCGGTGAGTTGCTACTTGTCTTCGATGATTTTGTTCAATTAACTCTCTGCAACTCACCGAATCTGGCTCCGAAGATTCGTAATTTTCTTCTAACTAGTTTGCCGAATTTGAATTTACATTAGATTAATTCTATGATTTCTGTTTAGAAATTTTTAGGCGATTATAATAGTACTTTCGAGGTTATTGTATTTGATTCTTGTATTCTTTCCGTGTACATAGCATTTCTTGTCTTGCTTTCGCTCGCTGTTCGAATCTAATCTCCATTGCCGAAGATGCTGTGGTTTGTTTAGTATACAAATTATAGACTCGGTATTTCATCGACGGATTGTGAATCGTTTACTACATATTAGCTAACCTTATCGAAGGAAGCAAGAAGTAAAAGTTCAGGTTTCCTGTTGGCATTTTTTCATATAAATAGGTTTTAGGATTCGGTGGAAGTGAAAAATCGTTCGATGTGCTGCGTTTAGACTTTCTAACCCTAAGTTTTCGTATTAGCACAGCTATTTTACTTATTCTTGGAGCAGAAAGTTATGTTACGATAAGCTTTCTAGGATGAGATTGATTCACTCGTTTGGAGTTCTATTTGTCCTGTAATCTAAGCTTTGGTATGTTTCTATTGAATCATGAATCCGCTCAATCTCTCTTTGTGCAGATATATTTGTGTTCGTCGAGTGAAGCTGAAAAACTAATAGCCCAACCTCGGCATTGGGCGAACTTTAATTTAGATCAGATTATTTGGGGTCTGTAATTTCGTTGCAGATGGGTGCATCTGAAGCAGCTCTGCAAATCTTTTCAGGAGTCATCCCTCGTGCAGTATGTTCAAATCCGCATTCGAACAATTTCGTCTCCACATTTTCGTTTAAATCGCAAGTGAAATTTGTGAAGAAAAGGATCTTGAGAAATAGGCATTCATCAAAATGTTCGAGTAGGCTCTTACGAGGGATAGAGACAAGCTTTGGTGGGAAAACTAGATGTAATCGTCCTCTGTTATATAGTTGCAGATGCCAACAAGAAAAATGTGCAGGTGGCACGACTCCAGAAGGTGGAAATGGATCGTGGTTCGTGGACAGTGCAGAGACGCTGCATCCAATCAACAGCATACCAAATGGATCAAGTGCTTTGGAGTTTCAAGATGCTCAGTTTGCAAAACAGGAAACCAAGAGTTCAATTTCTAGTGGCACAAATGGAGCAGTTGGAGATTCCTTTCATAAGATTAGTATTGAGTCCATCGAGGATGAGGCGTGGGACTTGCTTCGGGAGTCGATTGTTTATTACTGTGGCAGTCCGATTGGAACGATTGCTGCAAGGGACCCGACTAGCTCTAATTTACTGAATTATGATCAAGTCTTTATACGTGATTTCATACCTTCTGGTATAGCTTTTTTATTGAAGGGAGAGTATGATATCGTTCGAAATTTTATCCTCCACACGCTTCAGTTGCAGGTAATCTAAAATGTACATATATTCATCAATCAGTTAGCTCATGAAGGTCGTGTTTAGTTACCTAACATTGTTTTTACTTCTCTGGTTAATGCTTGCAATTTGTTATTTCATAGAGTTGGGAGAAAACTATGGACTGTCACAGTCCTGGTCAAGGATTGATGCCTGCTAGTTTCAAGGTCCGAACCGTTCCTCTAGAGGGTGATGACTCAGCAACAGAAGAGGTTTTGGATCCCGACTTTGGGGAGGCAGCAATTGGCCGTGTTGCACCTGTCGATTCAGGTACATCGACCGTGATGTATTTTCTTTAGAAGAAAAGTTTATCCATTGTATTTCTATATCCGAACGGTCACTCACCTGTCTCTCTATTAGGATTGTGGTGGATAATTTTATTGCGTGCATATGGAAAATGCTCGGGCGATTCCTCAGTTCAAGAGAGAATTGATGTCCAAACTGGGATCAAAATGATCTTGAAGCTGTGTCTTGCTGATGGCTTTGATATGTTCCCTACTCTATTGGTAACTGATGGTCCTTGTATGATAGATCGCCGTATGGGAATTCATGGCCACCCTCTTGAAATCCAAGTAAGAATCTACCAAGTTCTTCATCTCTGTCACTTTTAATTGCTTAATGTATTCAATGGCTGCCATGGCATTCTAAAAGCTTTTAAATGAAATCAATGTTTTTACTTTATGCGCCTTAGATTTCGTTTCACTGATCATAAATCTGTAGCATGGTTTGTGTTTGATAAATTACATGGTAGAAGTATAAAGATTTATTCTTCTTTCCTCCTATGTAGGCGCTTTTTTACTCAGCATTACTTTGTGCACGAGAGATGCTTACTCCTGAGGACGGATCAGCCGATCTTATCCGTGCGCTGAACAATCGTTTGGTGGCTCTTTCGTTTCATATCAGAGAGTATTATTGGGTTGATTTGAGAAAACTAAATGAAATTTATCGTTACAAGACAGAAGAGTATTCATACGATGCAGTCAACAAATTCAACATCTACCCAGATCAAATTCCTTCGTGGTTGGTGGAATGGATGCCTGATAAAGGAGGGTATCTAATTGGAAATTTGCAACCAGCTCACATGGATTTCCGATTCTTTTCTCTGGGAAATTTGTGGTCCGTAGTAAGTAGTCTTACTACAACAAGCCAGTCTCACGCCATTTTGGATCTCATTGAATCCAAATGGGAGGATTTAGTTGCAGACATGCCATTCAAGATTTGTTACCCTGCTCTTGAAGGTCAGGAATGGCAGATTATCACTGGCAGTGATCCCAAGAACACGTAATTTACTCGACTTGATACTTTTGATACCCATTAACGAAAAAGTTGTCCCTGTTTTCTTGATATCGATATTGATTTCTGTTAATGTAGACCGTGGTCGTACCACAATGCAGGTTCGTGGCCAACATTGTTGTGGCAGGTATGTTACTCTCGAATTTCTGATCTTACCATTATGCTTTATATGGAAGTGTTGTTCTAGGTGAGGTAATTAAACAATACTTTAGACCCTTAAATACAAGCAAAATTTCATTAGAATTTGAGGTTTAGAAGCACGTTATCAGTTTCTATATGGTTAGTTCGCTTTGTTCTCTATAACAATCATTTTGTTAAACAATCTATTCAAGCTTTGGAACAAATTTTGTATTCCTCTATTTGAAACTCCTTGACAACGAAAGCATATAATATGGATACATTTATGTCAAATACAATGTTGAAGTGTGTGATCTTACCCTTCTCAGCTCACAGTTGCATGCATAAAGATGAACAGACCAGAAATTGCAGCAAGAGCCATTGAGATTGCCGAACGTCGTCTGGCTAAAGACAAGTGGCCTGAATATTACGACACGAGGAAAGGACGGTTCATTGGAAAACAAGCACGCCTATATCAAACATGGTCAATTGCAGGATACCTCGTGAGCAAGCTCCTGCTTGCCGAGCCGAGTAAGGCCAAAATGCTAACAACTGAAGAGGACTCGGATCTTGTCAATGCCTTCTCTTGTATGATCAGTGCCAGCCCGAAAAGAAAGCGCGGTCAGAAAAGCTCAAATCCGACTTACATAGTTTAGGTTGTTGCCCAGAACAAAGCTTGGTGTTATATAGAAAAGCTCAAATCCGACTTGCATAGTTTAGGTTGTTGCCCAGAACAAAGCTTGGTGTTATATATTAAGACGCTACTTTGAAATGGTGCATATGGAGTTGGGAGCCAAGGGGCTGGCTGGCTGGCTGCTACTCCCCAAATTTATGCTCTTAACGTATTGAAATTGGATACTACATATAGGCAGTTGTGGCGTATTAGTTAGCTACCATTTATTGAGTGGGTAAGTCGAGTTTATGCAGCCTTATTCACATATATATTATAGATACACATATTTAACTTTGGCCAACTAACGATGCTTTGTTACCCCTCCTTATGGGTGGAATCTGTAGAACCATAATGTAAATTCATATCAATGATTAAAATAGATCTTGTATGGTGTATCAATTGTTTGAACAGCTCGAGTAAGATAGCTCAAGTAAGATGACTTGACCAAGGACCAATTTTTAAGTTCGTGAAGAAATAAAGAATCAATCCCATCAGAGATTTTGACACATCAAAAACCTAAACTAATTCGCTCAAGTTATCCTACTCATGCAGTTAGTTGATTTATCTTAGAGCTTAGGATTTATTAGCTAAAGATAAGGGTAGAAAATTAACCCCTTCTTTTGGCATCCACCATTAGTCCCTGCTGTTTCTCCTTGTGAAGAGCCAAAAGAACTCGAGAAGACGCACCACCCAAAGTGAATCAATCTTCTTTTGATTAATTGTGAAAATGATCTTTAGTTGTTGGAGAGGGAACTGCAACAGAAAATTCACAACGGCCTCCAATTTTTCGGAATCATGCCATAGCAGCAGCAATTCCTTGTTTTCGATATAATAGCAAAGGCGTTTGTTTTAAAGCATCCAAAAAATTAAGACTAAATTTATAAACTGAAAAGAAATTTGACATTCGGCTCATCATAACACGGGGATAATGTTGGAAAAAGACTACATTGTGAAAAACAAAAATTCCAATCTTAAAATCTTGAAGAATCTCTGAACAACATTCGACTTCGTAATTATACTTAATCGAAAAGACTGAAGCCCATATCCTGCAAAATAGTAAACATGGAGTTTGAAGAAATTACATGAACTAAAAAGATGGTGAATTAAAGAAAAGATGTTTGTTCTGTGAGGTTTTTCGGCCTTCCAGGCAAACATTTAACGTTTCATAAGGTGGGGAATCTATTTTCGTCAGATTATTGCTTCCATTGGTTAATAATAATGAGAGAATTTCGATGTTAAACATGCAATTCCAAGCAACATTTTCATAAAGATTTAAGAAACTTACATCGTCTGATTCCTCCTTCTCTTCAACCTTCTCTTCTTTCTTTGACTCTGCAGCAGCAGGGGCAGCCGCACCGCCGCCACCTCCAGATGCGGCAACTGCCACAGCGGCACCTCCACCAGAAGGAACAGATGCTAGCTTTTCTCTTCCGGATGCAATGAGCTCTGTAATATCCTTACCCTTAACACTAGACATCAGAAGCTCGATTTTGTCCTCATCAACTTCCGCTCCAACTGCAAAATGGTTCCGGAAAGAGAATTATGACACCATCAGAAATATTAAATCTTTCATGTAATTCAATATCCAAAGCAAATGCGATAAATGAAATTCATACATATAACATTGCATTAGATGAAAAGAATTGTGGATTCAAAACATAAAAAAAGCATCGAATTGAGCATTCCAAATAACAACAATTAAAAGGATATCAAATTAAACCTAAGAATCAGTCTGAAGTAGAATTACACTATTCTCTTAGACAATCGCGAAAATGTAGGATAGATACAAATTACATATAATTAGAATCTAATCATATCCAGCCACGGATAACAGCCATTCTTCCTATTGTTTCTCAAGCATGAACTGATTATTAAAAGAAAGCACGTTCAAGCACGACAATAATGAAGACAATCAGTAATCAAACACGTATTAACTCCAAAAAAAAAAAAAACGATAATCATTTAATAAAATTTGAAGCCGAACAGCACAAAAGAAGAGAGAACAAACAACAATAGCTACCGCAAACCATCAAAAGCGAAACTCCATAGCTTGACATAAGAATTGAAACGAAGCGAATCAAAGAACAATAACCTAACTAACAAAACAATCCTATAAATCTAACGTCGAACAAAAAATTCCTGAAAAATCTTTAAAATGATAAATCGATAAAATAAACAAGCGGGGAAAGAGCGAGATGCGGATTTTACCAGATCCGAGAATGTCCTTCAAATCCTTAGCAGAAGGGCTGGCATTGCCTCCCAAAACAGCGAGCAAATAAGCAGCTACGATTTTCATCCTTAGTAGAAGCCAATCGGAATCAGTAGAAGGAAAATGAGAGAGTTCAGTTAGGGTTCCGTAAATGAAGCCGATGGCTTCAAATTATATTATATAGCGGCGAGAGGTAGGGTTTCTGATTCTTTCAGTTACGAGAATTTGGAAGCACCTGGGCGAGAAGATTGCGCCACTATCAATGTTTTGGGCCGACAGGATTGTATCTGGGCCTAATTTAAGTAGCCCATCAAGCCCAACCCATTACTTCCACCCTCGTCTATATATTTTTGTTTTAATCTTTTAATTTTCTAAAAGAGAGAAATTTATGGCAAAATTTTAAATATTTTTATATTTTTTAAATGAGTTAAAATGTTTAGTATATATATTAACATCAATGACATTTTTCTTTTTCTTTTTTTCTTTTTTTTTATAAATATTTTTTTGTACGATGTAATACAAAAATAAAAATTAATCTCTTATTTCGATATCTAATTTATAGATATGAAAAACTAAGGTTGAAAAAATTGTTGTCAATGAAAAATAATATTATATATATATATATATATATATATTTATTTATTTATTTATTTGTTTGTTTTGTTAAATGTAAATTTTCAATTTTAAAATTTATTTGGAATCAGTTGTAAATATTTTTAATGCTTTTATAACCACTTAAAATTCATTTCAATAATCATCCTTCAATTTAAATTATACATAATTTTAATTAAATATAAATAGCTTAATAGGTTGATGGATAGACACTTGAGACCTTCCTTCGAGTGAAATGTTAAATCATTCCCCTCACTTTATTAAACTGAAAACAAAGTTATCAAATTCACGTTTAAATTAATCCCAAAGGCCAAAGCTGGATGAATATAAAAATAATATCGTGGCTATTGAGCTAAGTTAATACAGTTTTGTCGTTTAAGAGGTGAAACTTTAATCAATCAAATTACATATGTTTACATATAATTATTTTCGACCGAGAGGTTATTAATATCAAGGAGACAAAATTTTGATACCCCTAAATCTCGAACAAGAATGCAAAATGTTACAGTTATGTTAGTTCAAGGTGTGTTGCATGTCAAACCCCTCATATTGTACTACTTTATCATTTTCTTTTACGATTTTTATGATGTATAGTTTTCTTATTATATTTTTTTAGGGGTATGACTTTCAGGTAAAATCATGTCTACATTCGGTATACTTGAAATGTACTATAAGATAATACTTCATAATGTACTATAATGGGATACGACTAATCATTTTCTAATCCTTCTTCTCGAAATGGGACCAAGTGTTTGAGTATACGTCGTATAGTCGAAGACGACACGAATTTGAATTGATCGACTTACTTAGTGGTGAGGGTGAGTGTTGCACAATTGTTTGCGAACATCCCGAGAAAGTGCGATTGTGACATGAAATACATGGTAGGGCACCATACGTAGTATATAAAAATATAACACAAATTGAAAGGCATCTCGTTCTCAAATAGATAACTACAGTGTTGAAGCACGTGCAAATCAAGCGAGCCTCCTTGCTAGATTTGCGCATAAACAATCAACAAACCAAAGAATTCAACAAGAAGAAGCCATGGAAGGCATTCTTCATTAAATCATCAATCATCTCAAAAGCAAAGGTCAAAATGAACAAACAATTGGGGCAAAACAAAAACGTATCGGTAGAATATAGATAAGTTTTAAGGTAGAAGGTCATGCAAAAGACGCTCCAATAAAAATATTACAAGACTAAATTGCCAAGTTCACGTACTATTACAACATTATTAGCTTCAGGAAGCAAAGACCTTACGCAATGAACAGCAAATTTCCATGGAGTAAATTTTAAGCAGCAGCCACAGTCTGAGCAGATGCTGCTGGGGCATCGTCTTCCCAGTAGGCAGTCTTCTTCCCAGTTTTCGAAACGGTTTGGAAAACTACATCGCGACTCACATTGCCTTTCACAGTTACCTTTTGTGCATCTATGTCGATGTCAAATGTTTCGACACCTGAACATGGTAGCCAAGCACTTTGAGTAGGAACTAGTTATTTGTTCAGAGGGTTCATATTCAATTGGTAATAACAAAAGTTTAAGAGATTAAATTAAAGGATACTCGATTTCGGAATATATTGATAGATTTAATACCCACCAAGCATCATTCAAGTATTCACTTTAAAAGTTGACGCATGGTCATCAAGCATAATATGTCCAGCATTTCCTAATATGCAAGAGTGGTTTACGCGTTCAAAAGTCTACATATTAGTGAAAGAGTAATGGTTAGCTGCTAGTTGTGGCTGCTAGTGAAAGAGTATTCACTTTAAAAGTTGACGCATGGTCCCAGTCTTGTGGCTCAAATTTGATTTTTTTTTTTAAGCTTCTTTTTTCCTCTATGGCTGGACTGGATTACAAGAAAAATGGTTACAGCCAATTTTGCAGCTAAGTATTACTCTTAATCCAAAACTTATTACCGTTCTATAGAGTACAAAATGTTGAAACATGCAATATCAAACTCCCAAACTCGACCCTCATGCTCTGATACAAAGATTACACATCAGACAAGAGCACAGCACATCACGAGACAACCAAAATTTAGTAGAGGCATAACAAACCTTCCAGTTTCCCCAAGACCCTTTTGACGGCTCCAACACAGCCCTGACATGACATAGCAACCTTGAGGACAGTAGTCTGCACGAAAGCAAATTCCAAACTGTGTTTATTAAGAGAGATCAAAGAACTCAGCTAGACAAGAAGAGTGGAATACGGACTGCCTGATACCAACAAATAGTTAGCACTTAACAGGACAAGAATACTTAATATCAACGGTCTTTTATCCAATTCCAAAACAGAAATTTACTCATCCAAGTCTATCTAATGGGACTTGTATCCATGAGTTATATCCATATATATTCTCCCTGTTTTTCAACAACTCCAGCTTCCAAAATTAACATAGATTAATAATTAAAAAAAAAACGCACAAAATAGAGCACAACGTTCTAATTTGGTTAATCGGGAAAACATTCATCAATGGCCAAACAAATTATCAATATATGATCAACGTAAAGCTTCCTTTGTGATTGATTGACCAATTGCTAACCAATAAATCAATATGAGATACTAACGAAATACTTCTATGGAGCTCTCTCAGAAGTAGATCTCATTGGCTCGGTTACAGTGATTTCCCTCACTCGTGTCAGATTCAATTAAATGAAAAACCAAATGCACAAATCCTCAGGGAAGTAGATGAAAAGAAAAAAGGGTAAAGGACTTGAGCATGTGCAAGTCCGAATCGCGAAATAAGTACAATTTATGCAAGATATCAACACTCGCGCGAGCAGTTCTTTCATCACTGTGGTTTTTACGATTTCTTTTTGCGCATAAAAACATCCGATAAGTTATGGATTGAAAAATTTTCAAAAAAAATCTTTATAATTCAATCGAAACAAACGATTCATCCTCCGAGCTGCAGATTTGAATTTCAAAAAGAAAAAGCTTGCGTATCTTCGATCTCCAAATCATACGATAAACGGAGAGAGAAAACAAAAACAAAAGATAAGGATGAAAAAATAACCCATAGATTCATAGCGTACCTGAGACATCGTTACAGATTACAGAAATTCAGAAGAGAAACGAACGAAAATGTAATCGAAAATTCGCCCTCGCCGATCTCTGCGCTTCTCGGTTTTGCCGGGCTTTTCACGGGGCTTTAATAGACTCTGTTTAATGGGTCGGGTCAACCGAAATTTATAATAAATATAAAAGGCCGATTCCCAACAGGATAACTTTCCGATTTAAACTACCAATTAAGGGCCCTTTCGTCATTTCACCTCCTCCAATAATAATGATATCCGCCCAACCATGTCCATGACTTTTATTTTTTTATATTAATAATAATAATTATTATTATTTTAACCAATTTTTAAAGAGTATTAATTATGAAATTTATTGCCACAAATATAATTAAAACTCAACTCTGGTACAATTTTTTTAATTATACTTGGGTATAACTTACTCCTTTCAATGAACAATCTCTAACACAATTCTTTTCCACGTCATTTAATAAAAGCAAAATTTAATTATATTATAAATTTTAAATTTTTGTAAAAATTATTGATTTTCTTTGTTTCTTTTCATAATTCAAAAATCATCCACCTAATTAAAATTATAATATTTTATAAAATAGATTACTTTTAAAATAAGCTTGAAAAGAATAATATTATAATTTATATTAATTTGAGATTTTTTCCCTCCATAATTCAACACGACAAAGGTGGAAATTTACCAAACCACTTTGACTCTCAAAAAAATTTTAAACTACTTTTCTCTCCTCTTTAAATTCTTTACAAACTCTACCAAAAAAATAATAATAATAAGGAATATTTTTTTTAATCGTCCATAAATATTTTAAAATATATATGTCAAACACAACGTCTTAAAATTTTAATAATAGATGAAATATTTAAATATTTTGAAACCATAAAATTTATATTTATATAATGTTTTAAATTTTCGCTATCTAAACGCTTACGGTTTGACTTCGAACTTAACATACTCAAGGCTAAGATATCGAACCTGCACGTATTAAATACAAATTAAATGAAAGTCAACTTAATTATTAAAAAACATGTTTTAATCCAAAATTCAAATATTTCATATTGGTTTCTTTTTTGTGCGTGAAATCTATCAACAAGTGGCTTTTGTTTTTATGGTTAAGGAGGCATCAGACTCGTAGTGGTTGTACTACTCTTCTTGCTGTGTGTATTAGCACTTGTACTACACAAAACACACGTTGGTAGCCTCCAATCTCATATTTGCATTTTAGAGTTCTCAGTTTCATGTTTATGCATCTATGGTTTGAGAATTTATATAATTTATAGTTTAGTCATTCTTTTTAATGTTTTTTTTTTTTATAAATAACGTGAGTATATGAATTAAACCTTCGACCTCAAGTGCTCGTGATGGAGGGGTGCACACCCAATCATTGCTCTAACTTACAATTTTGATCGAATGCAACTATTTGTATGCCAATATTATCGCATCGAGCAACGATACACTATGTCAAAAAAAAAAAAAAAAAAAAAAAAAAAAAAAAAAAAAAAAAAAAAAAAAAAAAAAAAAAAAAA